CACCAGCTCCTGACTTGACCATCTGCATTTCGGGGAGAAGGAGCAGGACTCACGTCATCTGAACTTAAGAAATTGCTCTTCATACTATTCAAGTAGCTCTGCTATGGGAGGGGGTCAAGAAGCAAGTCATGGAGGAGACGCTGCTGCCGGGATAAAGGAGGGGTCAGTAGCACGGCCTTCGGCACTGTTGGTGATGGTTGTGCAGATGTGTTTTCGAGATTGGTGTGTGTCAGGAAATGTTGAGTCCCAGTGACCTGTTGGTGATGACAACTGATATCCAAACCTTCTCTCCTGACCTGTGCAGCTGATTCCCTTCCTTCTTGTTTGGAAGGCAAGGACAGGTTCTCAGTCTTGACTGCTGAGAGTAAGGGCAAAACAGGTTGGAAGATGGAAGAAGAAAGACAAAGGGAAGGAAGTTAATTCCTGAGAGACAGGCGTAGAATGGGTCCCCAGGCAAGAGTCGGGGGAGTCAACGGAGAACACAGGACAAGCCAGAAACCTTGGGGTGTTGTCAGATCAGGCAACACTTTGACAGGAAAAGACAAAATGACCCTGTTGGAGGAGGAGAGAGGAGAGGCAGAAGTGGAAATGCCCTGGACTGGAATAGAGACACCGGCCTCCTCTGTAACTTGCTTCTTTGGTTCTGTGATTCATATTCCTGTTCTCTGGGAGGCTGGGAGTGGAAGAGAGTGAGAAGCAGGATACAGGGGTAGAGAAAAGAGAAAGGGAGAAAGAGAGAAACTAGATGTGCATGTGTCTCTGGGGTTTTTCAGACAAAGCTATTATCAAAATGCCAACCAGCTCCTGCCTGGCTGATTTGCATATTCCATGCTGTGCTCTTTGAAGATGAATATGCATGAGGGCTTGGGCGGGGTGCAGAGCTGCTGGGCTGTGGGCTAAGGTGGCTCATTGTTCTTTTAGAAGAAAGGCTTTAGTAAGAAGCCAAAGCACCTTCCCAGCAAGCAGAGTGGCCTCCGCTTCCCTTCCCCGATGAAGGGAAGAGAGAAACCTCAGGCTCAGACAGAAACCCTAACGACCATTCTCTCATCCTCTCAAGGAAATAAATAATCAGGTGCCATCAAGAATGCAAGTATCTCTTCTCCAAGAGTAGCATTTAATTACTCTCCTCTCCACGCATACTAATTATGCAGGCTGACTGGGTGATGATAGTCACCTCTCCTGGTTTCCCTGGAAACGGGGCTGCCACTCCCCATTTCTTGCTTCTGCTGCAAAGACAGCTGGGCGTCCTGGGGTGCTTTTTGCCTTTGACCTCTGGTGAGACCCCTAAACCTCTCAGTGACTGGGCTGTGGTGGGAGTGCCTGCGACTTAGTGGGTGCTCAAAAGAGGCTTGGGCATGGACTTGGTGAGGTCCATTAAGACTTGGGTTATAATTAACCGTAAGACACCTGGAGGACCAGGCCTTCTCATTAACGGTCTCCATCCCTTCTTCACAGACTTAGGGTCACAAAATGCTCCCTCTGGGTTTTCTTTCTGAAGGATCACATTGGTCTCCTGAAGTAGAGATGAAAGGATAGGGACTGCTGGAATATTCCATTTGAAAAATAGTTTTTCCTGCATGATCATTTGTTTCAATTACACATAAATAAAGGCCTCTGGCACCACGGCGGAGTTTTCTTTGTTGTTTTTGTTTGAGACGGAGTCTCGCTCTGTCGCCAGGCTAGAGTGCAGTGGCGCAATCTCGGCTCACTGCAACCTCCGCCTCCCAGGTTCATGCCATTCTCCTGCCTCAGCCTCCCGAGCAGCTGGGACTACAGGTGCCCGCCACCACGCCCGGCTAATTTTTTGTATTTTAGTAGAGACGGTGTTTCACCATGTTAGCCAGGATGGTCTCAATCTCCTGACCTCGTGATCCACCCGCCTCAGCCTCCCAAAGTGCAGCCTCCCAAAGTGCTGTGATTACAGCATCCCAAAATGAGCCACTGTGCCCGGCCTTTTTTTTGTTTTGTTTTTTGAGACAGAGTCTTGCTCTGTCGCCCAGGCTGGAGTGCAGTGGCACAATTTCAGCTCACTGCAACCTCTGCCTCCTGGGTTCAAGCGATTCGCCTGCCTTAGCCTCCCAAGTAGCTGGGACTACAGGTGTGCACCATCACAGCCGGCTAATTTTTTGTATTTTTAGTAGAGAGGGGGTTTCCCCATGTTGGCCAGGCTGGTCTCGAACTCCTGACCTCAGGTTATCTGCCCACCTCGGCCTCCCAAAGTGCTGGAATTGCAGGCGTGAGCCACCGTGCCCAGCCCTATGGTGGAGTTTTCTTACCAGAACTTGACCAGACTAGGCCTAGCAAAATCCTTCAATTGATGGGAACATACCTCATTTACAGGCTGTATTTGCCAGACAGACCTCTGACTTACCTAGGAGGGCTCCCTGCAGACCTTGGCTCTCCAATACACTTTGCTGAGTGCGGACGTCCTAGACGGGACTTGAGTTTTGCAATCAAGACTGACTGGGGCCCGAAAATCAGTTAATTCTTGAGACTCTTCCCTGAGGTTTCCACAATCCAGAAAGACCAGAAGAGGGAAAAGCCGAGGGAAGACAACTGGGTTCACCTGATAATCACACTATCCACAAATTCCCTAGGTTCAGCATTGAAGAGTCAAGGATTCAGCAACTCCGAAAACCCAGGGCAGAGCTTCTCCAGTCCTTGATGAAAATACCAGGTGCCGGGAGATTTAGCTTAATATGTAGTAGAGCTGCATTTGAACTCAAGGCACAAAACCCAGGCTCCTTTTAGGAGAAGAGCTGCCTCCCTTTTAAAGGGAGACCTTGTTAAAATGCAAATTCTGACTCAGCAGGCCTGGGGTGGGGCCTGAAATTTTGCATTTCTAACAAGCTTCTAAGTGTGGTCAGTGCTGCTGGCCTGGAAAGCACACTTTGAGTAGGAAGAACACAGGCAAGGGCAATGCACAACCATGAGGAATTGATTTCATATTCCCCTTAAACTCCAGATAGGACAAACAAGAGAGAAAAGAGGAGCCACTGTTCTCCGCCTGCCCTGCTCACCTCCTCCTAGCCTGAGCGTATCCCTGACACTCGAGATTTATTTTTAACTGCCAGCAGCTTTGATTAGCTTGTCACAGCCGCTTCAGACACCTGCTGGCAGGATAAATTGGGGGAAAGGAGTGGCTGACCCAGATCTGACAAATCAAGGCAGGAAGAAAAGCTCTCGGGAATTCGCCGCTTCCCCTTTGCTGAGGCTGGTGAAAAACCCCATCACCGGCAGAGTGCTAAACTTGCTAATGACCTCACACCACTAGTGACCCTGGGCATGTTCAGCCTTAGCACCAGTGAATTGCAGAACTGAATCCACACCCTTTTGTCACAGAACTAGTGGTCACTTCCATGCGGCTGTGGCAGCCAGGGCTCTATCTATGCAGAAGTTTTGCTCTGGGCAGATGCCTGGATTAGAGCTTTACTCATTGTAGCAGTTTTCCCGGTGGGATAAGTCCCCGTCACCCCAAGCTGAGATTGCTAGTGTTCTGCTTCTAGAAAAGCAGAAGCCCAGCTGGGTGCGGTGACTCACGCCTGTAATCCCAGCACTTTGGGAAGCCGAGGAGGGCAGATCACCTGAGGTTGGGAGTTGGAGACCAGCCAGACCAACAGGTAGAAACCCCATCTCTACTAAAAATACAAAATTAACCAGGTGTAGTGGTGCATGCCTGTAATCCCAGCTACTCGGGAGGCTGAGGCAGGAGAATTGCTTGAACCTGGGAGGTGGAGTTTGTGGCGAGCTGAGATTGCGCCGCCTGAGATTGCACTCCAGCCTGAGCAACAAGAGCGAAACTTCATCTCAAAAAAAAAAAAAAAAGAAAGAAAGAAAGAAAAGAAAAGCAGAGGCCCAGGAAGGGAGGCAGGGCACTGGGAGTGACTTCTGTGTCCCCTAGATGGATTCCGTGGCCTTCTGTGGAACTGTTGATGTGATAAAGTATGGCTTTCTCTGTGGCATGCTTAGTTCAAGCAGACACTAAACTCCTGGGAATCAATGGAAGTCGCACTGGATAAGAAACCCAAATGCCAGCCTGACTCTCCCACTTCCTACATGGCCTTGGGCCAGCTACTGAACATCTCTGCTGCTTAGTTTCCTCCTCTGCAAAATCAGGATCATACTAGTACCTGTTTACACGTGGGGTGCCATGATGTGTGCTAATGCGTGGTGAAACCAGTGCAGGCTACAACAAGTGCCCCAGTACAAGTTTTTGCTTTCAGAGGAGGATATGGGAATTGGCAGGCTCAATGTCTTTCGAGCCAGAAGATGGAAGCCAACAGAATTCAGATTGTGGTGAGATGGAGCCAGCATCCGGGATACGAGGATGACGTTCACCTGCTGGCTGGTCAAGGCTGGCAGCTGCCTGCCATCAATGCTGGAGACAGTGCAAGGAGTCAGAGCTGCTGTTCATGGGAGGCTGTGGGAAGGGCTGGGGATGGCACTGCAAAGTCAAAGGACACTGTTGCCAGGGGTCGTTGCGGACAAACAGGGAGTGGTGGCCTTGTCAAGTGCAGGAAACAAGTTGCAGTCCCCTACATTGGGAAAGCTCGGCAGAGCTGACTCCCCGCAGGCCCTGAGCCTCCAGGTCCCCGTGGAGGGCCTGGGGAGGGTCTCCAGGGCCAGCCTGGCCATCCCACCAGGAGGTCTGCAGCTGTGTGGCTCCTCCGTGAGGCCCACTTTCTATCTGCTAATTGCACACTCTCACCCCGGTCTCACACCCCCTCTGACCAGCTCCTTTCTGCAGGCCCTGGTGCAGCTCCCTTGAATGTGGCTGAGCAGCAAAAACTGAGGTTGCAGAGGGTCTCCTTCTGCCTATACCATATGCAGCCCCACTGTGTCCCATGATCCCACCACCACCCACAACAGGGCATGTGCCCGGTCCCTAAACACAGCCTCGGCTGCCACGGGCCACAGGCCGGCAGTAAAGAATGCTATACAGCCCGTCTCTAGAGTCTGGAACAGAGGCCTAATGAACACCACACTCCAAAGCACGTGAAGAATATTAATTAAATGAAGGTTTTATTTCAAAATTAGTCTTACAGTATAAGCTGTTTTTGAGGGCTGGAGCCAAACTACATAATGAGCAGTGAAAGCGGCTGCCTTCCCCTCTCCCGACACCGCAAGGGGAGGCACCATCACCGGCCCTGCCCCATCATGCATCCAATGGTTACTAGCACTAGAAGCCAACAGCAAAGGACCCCGCGCGTTTGCTCATGTTTAATCCGGGTTAAGCTATACACGTTTAAATACACGTCGGAGGTTACGTGGTGTCATGCAGTCCCTGTGATGGAATGACTCTTGTTCAGTGACCTCCTGCAGCGAGGCTGCTCCAAAGGGCAAGATTAGGTCGGGCAGAGCACTGGAACGAGAAGAGAGGAGCGGACAGCAGTCAGAACACAGCTGCAGGCCGGGACCTCCGAGCCCAGGAGAGCCCTAGCTGAGAGCAGTCACACCAGCTCCTGAGTGGTGACAGCCCCGTTTAGAGCTTAGAATAAAGGAGAGACAATGGCAGGTGGTTGCTGGCTATAATAACTAAGCGTGTAGTCTCCGGGGCCTGAGTTCAAATCCTAGATCTGACCATTACTAACTACATGACCTTAGGGAAATTAACTTCACCTTTCCATGCTTGTTTCTTCATCAATACAATAGAACGTACCTGCGCCTAACCCCAGGGTTGTTGAGAGGCATGTGGCAAGTGCTTAGTAAATATTAATTACTTGTACAAATTCATTGACATTTCAGTGGATCATGAGGGGTAAAGTCTAGCCCCCAGACTATCAAATTTATATAACCTGTTTCTATAATCTTCCTTTGAGAACCTCCTTTGAGAAATATGCTGCTCTTTTAAAATCTTTGCGTCACAAATCCTTTTTATGTGTGTTTTTGTTTGTTTGTTTGTTTTTTGTTTTTGAGACAGTCTTGCTGTGTCACCCAGGCTAGAGTGCAGTGGTGTGATCACAACCCCCAATGCAGTCTCAGACTCCTGGGTTCAAGTGATCCTCTCACCTCAGCCTCCTGAGTAGTTGGGACTACAGGCACACAACACCACATCTGGCTGATTTTTTTTTTTTAATTGAGACGAGGTTTCACCATGTTGCCCAGGCTGAACAAGTTATTTTTAATGTTTACTCTAAGTTCCTCCTGCTGAAATGTAAGATTAGTCCTTCTGATCCTTATAGAAACAGTATAGCTCAGGGTTTCTCCACTATAGGTCCCACAAATACGGTCCCTCTGCAACTGTGCATAGTTTTGTGTGCATGCAGGACAAAAAACAATAAAATAACGGATCTGGACAGTGAACAATCCTCAATGGCTATTAACATCACAAAAGGAAAGACAGTCAGACAATGTACGTCACCCCATGGAAGTCCGGAAACCTATAACCACTTATAATGTAGTGCTTATCAAAAAATCTGAAGCTGAATCTGATCAGGCTTCCAGTTCTATCAGTTCACAGGCAATAAAGAAGACAGGAGAACATATTGAATTATACCATGAGGATGAAACTAGCAAAAATCCACAATGAGGAAAATCTATGGCACAGACAACCTAGTTTCTCCAACAAATGTATTTCAAGACATGGAAGAGAAAAAGGAAACGGAACCTCCATATATCAAAGAGATGTAAGAGACATATCATTATCTAATTGCAACATACTGATCTCTATTGGCCCCTGATTCAAACAAATAAACTGAAAAATCCTTTATGGGAAAAACAGGGAATGCTGATTGGATAGTCAGTATTAAGAAACTCTCGGCTGGGCACAGTGGCTCATGCCTGTAATCCCGCTTTGGGAGGCCAAGGCGAGTGGATCACCTCAGGTTAGGAGTTTGAGACCAGCCTGGCCAACAGGGTGAAATCCTGTCTCTACTAAAAATACAAAAATTAGCTGAGCATGGTGGCGGGCACCTGTAATCCCAGCTACTTAGGAGGCTGAGGCAGAACTGCTTGAACCCAGGAGGCGGAGGTTGCAGTAAGCTGAGATCGCACCATTGCACTCCAGCCTGGGTGACAGAGCAAGACTCTGTCTCAAAAAAAAAAGAAACTCTTAATTTTTTTTAGTTGTGAAATGGTATTGGGGCTATGGTATTGGGGTATTAGGGCTTCCTCAAGAGTTCCTATGTTTTAGAAATGCATACTGAAATAGTTATGAATGAAAAACTCTGACAGAGATTTGCTTTAAAATAACATGGGAGGGGAGAAGTTGGGTAGAGGCATAAATGAAATAAGCCTGGTCGGGACTTAATAACTGTTGATGCCGGCTAATCAGTACCTGAGAGTGTATTATGCCATTCCCTCTACTCTGCTCTTGTATGTACAACCAGTTTCCATGAGAAAAGGTTAAAAAGTTATATAAGGATGTAGTCAATTATGTCTCCAGCTTCCTTTCAAGTGCTTGAAAAGTATTAAATTATCATCGGGCTTTGTTTTTCCCAACTAAATACTAAGTAGCTCAAACTCTGCAGAATTTTCACAGTAAGTCCTTTGTTGGTTTGCTGCTCCAAGGAAAGTCACTCTGGTGACTGGGGGTGATGGAATCTCCTCCTGCGGCCTCCTGGCAACACCCAAAGGCAAAACCTATTACTGCAAAGCCTCACAATTGTCCCTGATTTCCCTGGCCCCTGCCTGGCCTGGTCTGGAATGGACAAGCTGGAAAGGTTCCCTGACGGGAGCAGGAGCTCCAGAGAACCCCTTCTGTTCCAGGAGGCCTGGTGCTGTTCTTACCTTTTAAAATGTAGTCCGTTAGCAAAGTAGGCACCTTCTCATTATCCTCCTTCATGGCAAAGAGAACTAGGAAAGGAGAAAGAGAGGAGCTAAGATACTGTCTTAGCCTGGTCATGAGGCTCACTTCTGGGGCCACATGACCTACTAGCCCAGAGTGAGAGACAAATGATTCAAAGGAACCAGACATTTATTGACTATTGAGCAAAAGTCTAGAAGCCTCTATCAAGGGTCAGCATTTCAGGGGCAAGGGCTAAAAACTACCTATCCGGTACTATGTTTGCTACCTGGGTGACAGATTTAGGTTCAGTCGTAACCCAGACCTTGAACCCAGGAGTTCAAGACCAGCCCGGACAACATGGCAGAACCTCATTTCTAGTTAAAAAAGAAGAAAAACAGCTGGGTGTGGTGGCACATGCCTGTAGTCCAAACTACTTGAGAGGCATTGTGCAATATACCCCCGTAACAAACCTGCACATGGTGATAGAGAAGAACACAGCAAGAACCACAGTGTTTGTCTCTAGGTAGTGGATCTATTGGTGACTTTCTTTTCTTTGTTCTTTTTGAGACAGGATCTCACCCTGTCACACAGGCTGAAGTGCAGTGGCGTGTTCTCAGCTCGCTACAGCCTCAAACTCCTGGGCTCAAGTAATCCTCCCACCTCAGCCTCCCAAGTAGCTGAGACTTACAGGCATGTGCCACCATGCCCAGCTAGTTTTTTTTTTTTTTTTTTAAGTAAAGATGAGGTCTTGCCATGTTGCCCAGGCTGGTCTTGAACTCCTGGGCTCAAGCAATCCTCCCCTCTTGGCCTCCCAAAGTGACCTGTGATCATGCCACTGCACTCCAACCTGGGCAACAGAGTGAGACTCTGTCTCAAAAACAAGAAAAAGACCAGCCTGGACAACATAGCAAGACTTTCTCTCTAAAAAAAAAAAAAAAAAAAAAAAGAAGAAGAAGGAAAGAAGAATAAGAGAGAGCTATATGTACAAGACATAGTTATCAGTGAAGAAAGAAGGATACAGAACATGTATTAACTTTATAATTAAATTCTAATGTTCATAGAAGAAATCTAGAATAATAATATATGACACTGTTACGTGGTTATCTCTGAGTGTAAGACCACAGGGCGTGTTCTTTTCTATGCTGCGTTTCTGTAGGGTCTGGCTTTTCTCAATGAGCATGTATTACTTTCGTAAGCCGAGAAAACACTAAAGATCAGCCGGAACTGATAGCTAGGGTCAGAAGGAGGCTGCAACAGTGGGATTCCCACTTCATTTCGATATCTTTGTCCTCCATTGATTACCTTGCCTAGTTTCAAGACAGGGTCATGAAACTCGAATCCAAGAGTTAGGAGTGAGTGAGGAAGAAAGTCCAATGGTGGCGTGAGTCAGTGGCCAGGTCCAGAAAAAGAGACTCAACCTGAGGCCATTGAGGGGGTGGTTTGTTTCTGTTTTATTTCTTCTGTATCTTTAGACATGTATTCATGGCAGCATAAGTGGATTTTAGGGGGTCCTGGTTTCTTCTGTTTTTTTTTTTTTTTTGAGATGGAGTTTCGCTTTTGTCATCCAGGCTGGGGTGCAATGGCATAATCTCGGCTCACTGCAACCTCCGCCTCCTGGCTTCAAGCGATTCTCCTGCCTCAGCCTCCCAAGTAGCTGGGGTTACAGGCGTGTGCCACCACATCTGGCTAACTTTTTGTATTTTTAGTAGAGACGGGGTTTCACCGTGTTAGCCAGGCTGGTCTCGAACTCCTGACCTCAGGTGATCCACCCGCCTTGGCCTCCCAAAGTGCTGGGATTACAGGCGTGAGCCACTGTACCCGGCCTGTTTTCGTTTTTTCTGCATTTTTAGACATGCTTTCATTTCAACTTAGTTGTCAAGAATACTTTGCAACTGAGCACAAGCAGACTAAATGCCACACCACGAAGACCACGTAAAAATACAATAATTGCACTTGGCGATACGTATCTAAATTAATCTCCAAAATCTAAAAGTTACAAGGATTGTCTAGTCGCAGAAGCTGGTCTTTGGCCTATGTACTTAGTTCAAAGAGTAGAAGAGAGAAGAGGCGTTGTTCACAAATTCATATGACGATCTGCCACAAAAGAGAGGCTTCATAACCTACAGGAGAATTGGTATTCAGAAAAGATGGCAGTTTTTCTTCTAAAAGCAATAAAATGTTGGAACATAGATAGAAGAGATAGCCATAAAAAGAACATTATCAAAGTGTTAACTAATGTGACTAAAATCATGACACAAAATTTTATAGTCAGTATAATCTCAACCATGTAGAAAAGATACAAAAAATTATGGCTGAAAAGCACCAAAATAGTAACCACAGTGGAGTGGACAGTGAGTTATTTATTTTTCTTTGTTTGCCTTTCCATATTTTCAAAGTAGTCTAAATGATGGATACACTCTAGCTATGATTTTTTTAATGAACTTAAAAAATGTAAACAAAACCACTCAAAATAGAAAAAAGTCTGTTTCTTAATTAAAATGAAAAGATTTCACACTGAATTCCTGAATGGGTACCTGCAATAAATTAATAGCTATTTATTTTTTGAGCTATGATAGAATACTTTACACATATCAACTTTCATAATTTGTCCAAGTTACTTTCCAAATCTAACTTGTGTGAAAACACAAACACCTATAAATGTCAGTTCATCTGTGTTTTCTCCCTTTAAAAAAAAGCGCATATTTATGCAAATAAAGGAGTTTACAATGAGTTAAGGACAAGTCACTGTACTTTGATTTTAAAATTCCTGATTCTCAAGGACACAGTGTCTATTGATGTAGGCAGGATTTCTGTTTGCCAGAACCTCCAGCTTTAGTCCTCCAAATTGATTTAAAAAAAAAAAAATGAAATGTTTGGTCACCTTCAGCAGTAGGGCCCGGCAGATATCCATCCTCCTCAGCTGAACAGAAGCTCAACTTCCCTTCCCGGGGGTATCCAGTAGCCCCAGACTGGCCCCTTCCCTCCAGAACATGCTGCAGTGGGCGGGGCCTCGTTAGCTGTCACTCTCTGCAGTGCACAGTTGCCAGGGAAATGGAATTTCCCTTGTGATCCTCTGGGCCTGTCACCACATCTCAGCCTAGGACTTTTCTCTTCCTAAAAGGGCCAAGCTGACACTGATGGCTAACGCCATGTGCCCCCCAGCCCTTGGCGGGTCCTACTGTTTGATGTATATAAACAGTTACTGTCTACAAAAGGCTCTTTGTTACACACTGTTTTCCCTCATAGCTCAGAATGGTTATTAATATTTGACAACAGAGCAAAGTGGAGGAGAGGAGGCAGTCACTTCCTGGAAGGAAAGCTAGACTCTATTTTTTCCAGACAGCCTTACCCCATCCAAGAAACCTCGCTTCTCATTAAAATTACAGCCAGACCCACAGACTGGGCGCCCTGCTTCAAGGGGCACAAGTGCCGACCAGGCAACCTCAAGTTGCAGGGAGAGAGAAAACAGGGAGGCAGAGGATGCCAAGCCTTGAGAACTGCGGGGGAAAATAAAAACGACCCCTGCACCAGCACCCCAACCTCTTTCACAGCTCTTCCCCCCTCCTGCCCCCGTCTCTTCCCCTATGGGAACCAGGGGAAAGAAAGACAGCTCTGGTTATGAGTGCAGACTGTTTTAATTGTACACTGTGCAGGAGGATGTGACGCAGTAATTTGGAGGGTATTTTAGCCCATCGAAACCTACTTTGAGGAGTCTCGGGGCTGCGGCACCGGAGGTACAACGTACAGGCAGGAAGGGAGAAAAAGGAGCCGCTGATCTGGCTGAGAACAAGAGGAACTCACTGTTTGTCAGCATCTGCAGGTCTTCCACTGACGGAGGGGAGGCTTTCTTCTCGTAAGGAATGACTGTGTTCAGATACTGCAAGACAAACAGCACGCAGGGGGCTTGAGACAGAAGACACGCTTCCTCTGGGCTGAAATTTAGCCTTTCTCTAAGACACACACTCTGCAAATCTGACCTTCTCTGAAACATTCATGGTCACTGGCACATCACTGTTTCAGAACTTCTTCTCCATCTTTAGGGGATGTCTCTTTAAAAGTAAGACTCTCCCACATTTAGCCAGGAAAACTTCTCTCCATTCCAACTTCTAGATTCTTCCTACACTACAGACTTCTCTGTTATTTAGGAATCCTGGGGAGCTTTTTCTCCTTCAGACTGAGAGCAGAGAATATCTCCAAGGGGATTATATTTTCTTATTCTTTGCAGAGCAATTTGAGAAGGAATTCTTTCTCTTTTGTCAAAAAAGACATGCAAGAGAACCTCAACCCCGCCCAGGGTCTCCGATGTCAGATTTGCTCCCTCTGCTGGATGTCAGGTGCTCCTACAACAAAACCAGCACCAGGGCCTAGTGGGCTGTCAAAGGAGCCTCAAGGAAGCCTGAGGTGGTGAGTGCCAGAGCTCTAGACCAAAGCTAAGAAGCTCAGTTTTTTTTGTTTTTTTCGTTTTTTTTTTTTTTTTTTTTTTGAGACAGTCTCGCTCTGTCACCCAGGCTGGAGTGCAGTGGCGTGATCTCGGCTCACTGCAACTTCTGCCTCCGGGTTTAAGTGATTCTTCTGCCTCGGCCTCCCGAGTAGCTGGGATTACAGGTGCCCGCCACCACGCCTGGCTAGTTTTGGTATTTTCAGTAGAGTTTCACCATGTTGGCCAGGCTGGTCTCGAACTCCTGACCTCAGGTGATCCACCTGCCGCGGCCTCCCAAAGTGCTGGGATTACAGGCGTGAGCCACTGCACCCGGCCAGAAGCTCACATTTTAGTCTCGGCTGTGCCACTTGCAGTGTGTGTGGCTTTGGAAAAATGCCTTGGATCTCCGGTACATAGTTCTCGCTGCCATAAAACAAGAGGACTGGGTTCGATGCTTCTAAAATCTCTTCCCGTTCTCTAGAATCTCTAGAGTTCTAGAGTTCTAGAATTAATCTAGCACTTAGGATTCAGCTACAAATATGTTTAAAACATATACACTTTCACGTGCACTCATTCCACCATCTCATACTTTCTGTTCACGTGCCAGCCATGTCTATTAGATTATACACTCCATGAGGACAGGGACTTTTCACCTTTGCACCTGTGGGCCTAACAACAGAGCTTAGCACATAGCAGCCACTTGATAAAAGTTGTGAATGCTGTCTTAATAACCAGAAATGCAAGCTACATCACAAGGAAATTACTGAGCCAACAAAAAGCCACAGCATCGGTTACAACCAGAGCTGGGCAGCTGCAGAGGCAGTCTTAGTGGGAATGGCTTGGCGGGTAATCCAGTGTGATGGACAGTTAATTAAACTCTGGATGGGATCTATCATCAAACGGATTCCCTTTTAATGCATTTCATCCTTAAAACAACTTAATTCTTAGACCTACAAGCAGTGTTGAATTTTAAGTCTTGCCCATGTCCTAGAACCCTAGAGCTAAAAAAAAAAAAAAAAAAAAAAAAAAAGTTCACCTTTTAAATAGATACTCTCTGTTCCTCCTTAAGAGGAGAAGAAAGTGTTAGGACCCCTAACCCCCTAAATAAATGCTGGGATAATTCTGGCGAGTCACTGTCCCCCTTCGTTGTTGGGGAGGCCAAGCTGCCGGGGTCTAGGAGGAGAGCTTGGAGCAGGGAGACTGCGCGTACCTGTTTGTCACTTCCTGAGGAGCCAAAGGTCTGGCGGATGCCACTCTGCAGAATGTTGGAGATGCCTTCCATGCTGAAGCGCTGGGGGAAGAGAGAGACTCAAGAAGGGCAAATGCTTCCTGCTCCATCATCACCACACCCAGAGACCTCTCGGCTACCAGGCTGTCCCAGATAACACCCCAGGGTTCTTGACTAGAGAGTAAGTGCAAGACATTGGCTTACACAGTCAGGCCAGAAATGAAGCCTGAGCTTTGCAAGAATAAATAGAGCCTCAAGAACTCTTATCTTAGTAAGTCCCTCAGGGCTACAAGACTCCTCTGCATCCCCCAGTTTCCCTCCTTTTATCCACCATCATGCAAATAGAAAAATAAAGCAGTTCAGTCAAACTTAGATGAACCATGATGCAAAGATCTTAGGGGAAAACAAAATGTTCAGCTATCAGAAAAGACTGTCTTAAAGCAACTGTCCTGATCTGAGAAGATTTTTCAAAATGTACATGCGGAGGACTAATCCCATAGGTCTGTGATAAAGCCTCAGGAAAGGCATTTTGAAAAAGCTCCTTAGATAATTCCACTGAGCTCCCCCAATTAAGAACCTCTGGTGGCCAGGCGCGGTGGCTCACACCTGTATTCCCAGCACTTTGGGAGGTTGAGGCGGGCAGATCACAAGGTCAGGAGTTCAAGACCAGCCTGAGCAACATGATGAAACCTCATCTCTACTAAAAATATAAAAATTAGCTGGGTGTGGTGGCAGGCGCCTGTAATCCCAGCTACTCAGGAGGCTGAGGCAGGAGAATCGCTTGAACTTGGGAGGTGGAGGTTGCAGTGAGCCAACATCATGCCACTGCACTCCAGCTGGGCAACAGAGTGAGACTCCATCTCAAAAAAAAAAAAAAAAAAAAAAAAGAACCACGAGTTTGGAACATCTTGTCGATAGAACAATAAGACATCTGGGGCCAGGACCAGTGGCTCACACCAGTAACCCCAACACTTTGGGAGGTGAGACGGGCAAATCACCTTAAGTCAGGAGTTTGAGACCAGCCTGGCCAATATGGTGAAACCCATCTCTGCTAAAAACACAAAAATTATCCGGGTGTGGTGGCGTGAACCTGTAATCCCAGCTACTCAGGAGGCTGACACAGGAGAATCACTTGAACCCAGGAGGCGGAGGTTGCAGTGAGCTGAGATTGTGTCATTGCACTCCAGCCTGGGGGAAAGAGTGAGACTCAGTCTCAAAAGAAAAAAAAAAAAAAAAAAAAAGGGCATCAGGTCATTTTCAATCACTGAAACACCCTAGCACACCCTAAAGAGACCAGTCAGGACTGGAACCTGGGACACGAGGAAGGATTTGGACCCAGAGTTCCGAGGCCCATCTCAGGACTCCAAACACGAAATGCCCTCACCCCACTTTCTCTAAGGTCTTGCCTACAGAGAACATACGCCAAATTCAATTATTTCCTAATGTTTACAGGCTGTCTTCCCGGGTTAGACTGTGAGCCCTTTGGGGGAGTGGAGGAGATGGGTGATACCTTCCCCCTTTCTGACCCCCTGTCTGTCACAATGTGCTGCTCACCACCGCTGCTCAGTAAATATTGATGAGTCCCCTGCAGGGTTGGTAGGGCACTGAAACGGGCAAGGTTCAAGGTTGGAAGCACCCAGTCTTCCGCCTGGTTGTTCACATACCTTGAGAGGCATCTGGTTTCCCTTCTCTATCCGGCTGCTCTGCAGGCTCAGCCCTTTCTCTTTCCGCCTCTTTTTCATCAGTTCTCGCTGCTCCTTCTGCTTGTTCTGAACCTCAATAAGCACCGTGATAAAGGAGTTCTTCACTTCCTTCTCAAACTCCAGCTCGTCCCGGCGGGCCAGCTGCTGCACCAGCTCCTCCGAGAAGTCGCGGATGGCACCCTCCACCTGGTCCAGCAGCTCGGTCAGCTCAGATCCAGACATGTGCCTCAGCCCTGCAGGGGAAGACGGTCTCCCGCGTAACACCTGCATCCACACCAGAGCTCGCTGGGGAGCTCCTGGGGCCACCACCAGTCAAGATGGGACTGCCCCTCTGAGGATGCCCCTTCCAAATCCTAACCCAAGAAAGACCTTCACAATTTAGGGGTGCGCCGGGAAGGCAGAGGCCTGTGTACTGACTGCAGAAGAGAACACCCCTCTCAGGAAAGAAAGGAGGAAGAAGAAACAGCCCACAAGGAAGTCTGTGGACTCTGTCCTCAAAATGGACATGGACAGACAGATCCTTTGTTCCACTTGCCATCTGTCTCCATAAGATTCCTTGTCTGAAGTGGGTCAAGAATTGGGGATGGAAAAGTGATGGGATGGAGGTTTTTGTCATCCATACTGAAGAGCAATAGAGACGTTGGTGCTTATTCCCAAGAACTGATCAAGATATAGTGTACGGCCAAAAAAAAAAAAAAAAAAAGCCGACCATCTGAGCCCTTCTTTACATCTCTAGTCCTGTGTCACAGCACGTGTATTCAAAAATACGTGAAACCTGGACGACTGGCGACATGCATGAAAAAATAAAGCCTAGCAGCAGTTGGCTGCTTTCAGAGGAAAGAAAAGGGAACCTGAGATCATGGGAAACAGATAACTTTAATTTTAAGAAGTCCCCTAAGACTTCTTTCATTTAAAATAGATTTGGATATTTTATTCCAAATTTTTCGGTTTACATATTGTATATTTTCATAGTTGAGATTATACTTGTATGCGGGTCTAAATCATGCTTTAAAACTTTGTACACCTTAGGCCGGGCGCAGTGGCTCATGCCTGTAACCCCAGCACACTGGGAGGCTGAGATGGGCAGATCACCTGAGGTCAGGAGTTCAAAACCAGCCTGGCCAGCAGGTAAAACCTAGTAGAGGCAGGATTTTACCTGCCTCTACTAAAAATACAAAATTAGCCAGGCATGGTGGTGCATGCCTACAATTCTAACTATTCGGGAGGGTGAGGCAGGAGAACAACTTGAACCTGAGAGGCAGAGGTTGCAGTGAGCAGAGATCATGCCACTGCACTCTAGCCTGGGCAACAAAAGCAAAACTCTGTCTTAAAATATAAATAAATAAATAAATAACTTTTATACACTTTAAGCATTTTCTGATTAAAAATTATTTTAAACATTAAAAAAAAATTAAGGCCAGGTGCAGTGGCTCACACCTGTAATCCCAGCACTTTGAGAGACTGAGCCAGGTGGGTCACCTGCGGCCAGGAGTTCGAGACCAGTCTGGCCAACATGGTGAAACTCTGTCTCTATTAAAAAAAAAAAATATATATATATATATAAAATCAACATTGAAAAAATAAAATACACTTGGGAAACATCTTTTAAAATGTGGCTCCATCTAATGGCATCTTTTCACAGCAGGGGAGGAAGGATTGATTGATTGATTTTTAATGTTTAATGTTTGTGGGTACATAGTGGGTGTGTTTATGGGGTACATGAGATGTTTTGATACAGACATGCAATGCATAGTAATCACATCATGGAGAATGGGGTATCCACTCCCTCAGGCATTTTTCCTTTATGTCACAATCCAACTAATAATCTTTTAGTTATTTTTAAATATACAACGTCTAATGGTATCCTTCACTTTCACCTCAGAATCCATTTTCCTCTTCCTCTTTGTTTATGCTTCGCCGAGTTATTTGCTGACTTGGTTGGGCTTTTCCCTTATTCTGCTCTTTGGAGCTGCCCTCTCCCCCTTCTGTTTTTTTGCCATTTCACTCTGCATTTCAGCTGTTTTCACAAGTCTTTTGCTGAACGCGTCTATCTTTGGGACCTTTGTGTGGCCGGGAAAGGCCTGACTGGGGCAGTGGGGAATGCAGCGAGGCAGCCAAGTCCAGTTCAACACCAAGCAGACTCTCTGCCGGCCACCTCCTGCCGCTGCTATTCAGAGCCAAAGTCTGACTTGCAGGATGCAGGCCTCCAGATTCTGCCTCTGCTTCGACCACTTCTAACCCGTGGTTGACCTTTCAACCCTGACCAACCCACCTTCTCCCTCCCTTGTTTCTAAGTTCCCATCTCCCCATGGGTGGATCTGCTCCTAGGATGAGGCTCCTCTTGCAGCGGGGCATCGATACCCTATGGCTGATGAATTTTTTGCCTTTGTTGTGTTACACTTTTTCTTTTCATGCTTCATCCAGCCATTTCTTGTGCACAATCATAATTACTATCAACCTGTGTCAGAGAGTTAAGAGGATGGCCTCTGGAGTTAACCTACCTGGCTTCAAATGTTGGCTTCACCCCTTATGACTTGTGCATGGTCTAAGCACAAATACAAATTTTAAATGAGAGGCTTGATTCTCCCTGTTGAAAATAAGGGAAAAGACTTTTCCTCTCCCCCATCTCCCTTTTCTTTCAGAATTTCTTCTACCTGTCCTTTTCAATCTCTCAAAGATTTAGATTAAATCTTTAAAATACATGTATGTTACCTTTATGTTAAATTATTGTCATGGCTAAATAAGCCTCTTGTTATTCTTGCAATTCAGGAGGGTTTCTTCAAGGGCCTGGGGGTCACTGCTTTGAAATATAATCATTAGACTGGACGCAGTGTCTCATGCCTGTAATCCCAGGACTTTGGGAGGCTGAGGCAGGTGGATCACAAGGTCAAGAGTTTGAGACCAGCTTGGCCAACATGGTGAAACCCTTACTCTACTAAGAATACAAAAATTAGCCAGGCATAGTGGTGCATGCCTGTAATCCCAGTTACTCGGGAGGCTGAGGCAGGAGAACTGCTTAAACCCAGGAGGCGGAGGTTGCAGTGAGCTGAGATTGCGCCACTATACTCCAGCCTGGGCAACAGAGCAAAACTCCGTCTCAAAAGGAAAAAAAAAAAAAGAAAGAAAGAAAAGAAAAAGAAATATAATCATCAAAGAATATAATGCTCAATCTCTCATTGTTCTGAGCAGAGGGGCCTAACTCCCTTCTGACTTCAAATCGCAAAACGCACTCAATGTAATGGGTTCCATTTATCCACTTTGCTATACAAGACTGAGACTGCTCTCTGTCTTTGCAATCTCTTTAGAGAGTTGTCTGTGATGTGGCTCCCATCCTGGTTTAATGCTTACTCAATAATAAAATAGTTTTCTAGGCCAGGCGCAGTGGCTCACACCTGTAATCCCAGCACTTTGGGAGGCCAAGGCAGGTGGATCACCTGAGGTCAGGAGTTTGAGACCAGCCTGGCCAACATAGAGAAACCCCATCTCTACTAAAAGTAAATTAGCTGGGTGTGGTGGTGCACACCTGTAATCCCGGCTACTCAGGAGGCTGAGGCGGGAGAATCACTTGAACCCAGGAGATGGAGGCTGCAGTGAGCTGAGATCACGCCACTGCACTCCAGCCTGGGTGACAGAGCTAGACTCTGTCTCTAAAAAATAAAAAATAAAATAAAATAAAAATAGTAATAAAATAGTTCTATTTATCATCTGTCTTTGTGGAGAGGTTTTCTGCACACAAGGAGATCTCATTTCTAATCGTATCTGATCTAATCTCATTCTAACAGTGGCCTCGGACAAGTCATGTAACCTCTGAAAGACTCAGTTAGCTTGATCCTAATGGGGTTGGTGTGAAGATGAAATGAGATTAGGCATAGAAAGTCTTAGAATAAGGCCAGGCGCAGTGGCTCACGCTTGTAATCCCAGAACTTTGGGAGGCTGAGACAGGCAGATCACTTGAGGTCAGGAGTTTGAGACCAGCCTGGCCAACATGGCGAAACCTCCTCTCTACAAAAATATAAAATTTAGCAAGGCGTGGTGGCACATGCCTGTAGTCCCAGCTACTCAGGAGGCTGAGGCTTGAGAATCACTTCAACCTGGGAGGTGGAGGCTGCAGTGAGCTAAGACCATGCCACTGCACTCCAGCCTGGGTGACAGAGAAAGACTCTGTCTCAAAAAAAAAAAAGAAAGAAAGAAAGAGAAAGAAGGAGAGAGAGAGAGAGAGAGAGAGAGAGAGAGAAAGAAAGAAAGAAAGAAAGAAAGAAAGAAAGAAAGAAAGAAAGAAAGAAAGAAAGAAAGAAAGAAAGAAAGAAAGAAAAAGAAAGAAAGAAAGAAAAGAAGGAGCAAGGAAGGAAGGAAGGAAGAAAGGAAAAGGAAGGAAGGAAGGAAGGAAGGAGAGAGAGAAGGAGGGAGGAGGAAGGAAGGAAGGAAGGAAGGAAGGGAAGGAGGAAGGAAGGAGGGAAGGAAGGAAGGAAGGAAGGAAGGAAGGAAGGAAGGGAGTCTTAGAATAAGTTCTGGCACATGGAAAGCACTTCAAAAATATGAGCTGTTATTACCCTTTTTTCATTGATTTTATGGTAGCATCATTCATTGCTTTTACATAGTAGTTCAGATTTCTTCTGCTTATTCTGCCTTAGTCTTTGGTTAGTTTTAACATTTAAATTTTGCTCGACTACCTTATTTTTTTCTCAAAAATGCAAACTTCTCTCCTGATGTAAGAAAGAAAGAAAGAAAGGTATTGCTGACTGCCTAGATCTGCAAGGCTCTGCTCTGAGGCAGTGATCAGGGTTCTATTAGCCATGTACAAAGTGCACAGCCCAGAGCCTGGCCCCGAGCAGGTGCTTCCTCCTCAGCCAGCCCAGCACCCAGGGCCCTCACCTTCATAGGACCAGTTGTTGTTGAAGGTCTGTGTCAACGCCTGCATCTCCTGCAGGAGAACCGAGTCTGCCTGGGAGGAGGTTTCTCCTCCATCCTCTTCTTCCAGAACCTCCTCTTCTTCCTCAGGGTCTGGGGAGTTCTGCATCATCTCCTCAATCTCCTCAATTACCTGAAGAAGGTACACGAGAGAGTGCTAACTCTGTTCTCTGCTAGAGGGGCATTCTGGCTTGAATTTTGATCAGTTAAGGATGTTTCTAATTAGCTATCTGAAATTTTCTAAAGCAATATCATTTTTAAATAAATACTGAATAATAAAAATAGTTCCAACCAAAGGCTTGCACACACTCTTTCTTTAATGTAAAGCACTCTTTAATGTAAAACTTCTTCCAAGAGCTCCATTTAGATAAATGATTTATTGGAAATAAGCTACTCTTTCAGGAAGCAAGGCAGAGCTGCCTGGAAGGGAACATTTACTTCAATTTGCTGAGCTCTTTATTTCTAAGTGGGAAAACATTTCATTCACCCAACTTTAACACAAAACCCAGTCCATTAATTGTCATAATACATGTGACTGGAAAAAACAGTGTGCTTCTAGAACAACACAAAATGGGGAGGAAAACAGCTATTTCTCCAAAATTCACCTAGACAAGAACTGAAGCTGCCCAGCAACAAATGAAAATAGAGATAATGAAATAATAGAAGGATAGATAGAGTCTAGAGAGCAGCAAATAGATAAGAATCCCAGCTCTAATCTAGACTATTGACAGGAGCCAGCTCCCAGCAGTGGAGGGAAAATTAGATATCTGCCAAAGGAACAAGAGTGAATTACTAGCTGGGCATGGTGGCTCACGCCTGTAATCCCAGCACTTTGGGAGGCCGAGGCAGGTGGATCACTTGAGCTCAGGAGTTCAAGACTAGCCTGAGCAACATGGGGAGACACCATCTCTGCAAAAAAAAAAAAACAGAAAAATTAGCCAGTTGTGGTGACGTGTGTCTGTAGTCCACGCTACTTGGGAGGCTGAGGTGGGAGACTGGCTTGCACCCAGGAGGTGGAGGTTGCAGTGAACTGAGATCGGTCCACTGGACTCTAGCCTGGGCAACAGAGCCAGATCCTGTTTCAAAAAAAAGAGTGAATTACTTTGTACATTAATTATTTACAAATAAAGAAGACTGCTGCTGAAAGCAGGTCTTCAGATGAGTTTTGTCACAACCTTCACCTTTGTCTGTTCTCCATGGATGGACTAAATCTCCAAGGCCAGCACCGTAGTCTTTGAGGTGGTTTCCTCACAGTGGGCTGGACCAAAGGTAAGCGACTTCGGGATCTCCTCCTTTAGAATAATTTCCATTCTTATTCCCAAGCCTTTTCACCTCTACTCACAAACTTAGGAGATAGCCAGTCTTTGACTACTGAAACCCATTTCACAGAATGCAACCAAATGACACAAATCCCTGTCAGGATCTTATGGCTGAATGTCCCTTTCTCTAAGAGTAGTTATAATTGAGTTCATATCATTGAATTGTAGTTCCTCCTACAAGTCACAAGAATAGCTATTAGCCCCTATTTTTAAAATCTGGTTCTCTTTAGTCTCCTAATCTTCACCTGTTTCAGTTTCCACCTTTTTATCACAGATATGAAAAAGCACCTTTGTTGCTAAAAAGCACTTTCTGGCACTGAATGCTCCCAGTGGAGCTTTGCAGAAAGACTTTGTGGAAACTTGTGTAGTGTTTAGCTCAAAATAAGCACCCATAAATATTTGTTGACTAAAACATTGAATAAGGAATCCGGAAACTGAACATTATCCTCTCTAAGTAATAAATTATTAAAGCTATGATGATCTCAGTTGAATGCGAAGCACTCTATCTTTTTTCACAAAGCCAAAGTGGCTCTAGGACGCCTTTTGGAAGGCTCAAAATTTTGAGTGTTCTATGAAATGTAAGAAAATATCCATCACACAAAAGCCTCATCTGTCACCTCTCTTTTTGGAAAAGCAGGTATTTGGGACCCTTGTTTAAGCGTCTTGACTCCAAGTACAATGAATTGCAATACGAAGGCTTAGCAGGAATTGAAGCTACTAAACACTATGCCTGTCTCTGGCTACTATCAGAGACTGACCCCAACTATCCCAAGTGTCAAGAATGACATTCATGTTCACTGCAGGTGGGCAACCTGAGGCAGAAGAGAAATGAAATCCCTTATCAAAAATACTCTGAGTTGGACAGGCACCGTGGCTCATGCCTGTAATCCCAGCACTTTGGGAGGCCAAGGTGGGTGGATTGCTTGAGTCCAGGAGTTTGAGACCAGCCTGGGCAGCATGGTGAAACCTCATCCTCACTAAAAGTACAAAAAATTAGCTGGCCATAGTGGTGCATGCCTGTAGTCCCAGCTACTTAGGGGCCTGAGGTGGGAGTATCGCTTGAGCCAGGGAGGTTGAGGCTGCAGTGAACCCTGATTGTGCCACTGCACTCCCACCTGGGTGACAGGGTAAGACCCTGTCTCAAAATGAAAAAAAAAGTCAGGCATGGTGGCTCGTGCCTGTAATCCCAGCACTTTGGGGGGCTGAGGCAGGTAGATCACTTGAGGTTAGGAGTTTGTGACCAGCCTGGCCAACGTGATGAAACTACATGTCTACTAAAAAAAATTATAAAAATTAGCCAGGCATGGTCATGCATGCCTGTAGCCCCAGCTACTTGGGAGGCTGAGGCAGGAGAATCACTTAAACCCGGGAGGCAGAGGTTGCAGTGAGCCAAGATCACGCCATTGCACTCCAGCCTGGGGTGACAGAGCAAGACTCTGTCTCAAAAATATATATATAAGGAAAAAAAGAAACAAAAATACTCTGAGCCATCAGCACAGGCGTCACATGACCACATATCTTTCTTCTGCCTTAAACGGATGTAGCAAGTGTGTTCTCTTGAACTTTTTCTCCATCAAAAGAACGAAAGGTCCCAATAACCTGGAGAGATACTCATACCTGATCTGCTGTGAGCAGAGGCTCCTCGTTGATACCAGAATCATTCTCGCTCTTCTCATTGAACTCTTCCTCTTCTTTCTCATGGATCTGGAGAGGAGGTGGGGAGATGGAATTCTGGGTGACTGTCAGCAGAAGTGGGATTGCCTCTAGTCTCAAGAATGGATGATACTGACTGGAGGCACTCCAGCCAGCTGCTGTCTAAACAGTGGAGCTGAAGAGGTGTCCAGAGTTTCATCCAATTCCAAACATATCCTTGCCCCATCACTGACTCCACTTGCCAGAAATCCAGCATGCTGCACTGAATACAACTTGGCAGGAAAAGATGATAGGGGCGTGGCCAGCACCATTCTGACTCAAAGGGAATAGCACTGTTTTTTAACCCAAAGACGGGTCATCCTGGGGTGAACAAGGCTCCTTCTCCAGGTAAGTGACACTGCAACAAACTGCAGCAAAGGTGCCCTGATTTTGTTAAGGAGTTCCAACCTGGGGGTTTGTTTCCAGATTTCGTGTTACTAGGCATTTTAAGGAATAGGTTGTTCTAGTCCAAATAATGATGACTTTCAGAATTTGATGAAATGCCATCCTGTTACTGGAATCCAGGCGTGATGTCATAGCTGATGGCAGATGTAAGAAATCTACCTGGGACATGCCACTGAATAACCTGACCGCATGAACTAAACAACAACAAAACTATGAAAGAGAAACCCATTTATCTCATTTGCCCTGTGTCTCTATAATTCCATAATCCCAAGTAAGATTCTCAAAGTTCACAGCCATCAGAATTCTAGATGTTCAAATCTAACAAGATAGTCAAAGCATATCTGGCTCAACTGACCATATCCCAAACTGCCATAGTCTGGCACTTACATTTGTCCCACAGAAAAATTAATCCCTGAACACCTCACAAGCTGTATGTCTAGAAGTCTGATTTGAATGTCATTCAAGGGGGAGGCAGGAGGTGTCTCTAGGAAATCTCTCTGCTGAGTCACCTCTCATCCAGGAATGAATCCTCCTTGCGCTCCAGTAGCTGGCACACTGACTGGCCCCTTCCCTGGGGCTTGTATTCTGCCTTTTCTAACAGGAAACAGCCCAGCACCAATCCAAGCAATCATATCAGAGGTAGCTATCCTCAGAAACTTCTCCCGTCTTCTGTGAGCTCTGCCTTGGCAGACATCCCAAACAGAGCACATCGTCTTTTATCTCCATTTGCTTAAAACCAGGACTATGTCATTAAAAAAGAAAAAAAATTAAGCAAATATATCTTAAATGCCACCCGTGCTCAACCTAGATATGGGGTAGGACAGGGAGGTAATGGAATCATCTGAAGGTCCATGTACCAGATGGTGACATCTATTTCCGCTGTCAAACCCATATGCTCCTCTCTCTGCCAAGTCCACCACCTGCGGTAGCCTCGTGGTTTCCACCGCTCCCCACTATGCAGAACAAAACTCCTGGAGCTACACTTTGTTCACAACTACACTCATGTGGAAGAACTTTCTTCAGGCCAGAAAGTCCTGCAGTAGAAGTTAGCCCAAAATTAAGAGAACAAAGATACATTTTTTTCCTCCAGATCAAAATTAGGGGAGAAAAAGGAAGAAATTTATCAGTATGTTCCCAGCCCAAGTTAGTGTGAGCCCAAGTTAGGCTCATCCTGGGAAACGGGTTTATTTTTTATAAGCATCTAACAGCAACTGTTAGTCTATAACCAGGATTTGGCAGGGGGTAGGGGGTGGTGGGCACTAAGTCTATATAAAAATGGCATGTTTACATTTTCTGAAATGTGGCTGATTTTAGTGGGTTTAAATCCCTGACTGTTAATATTGCTTCTTTCAACTACACCATCTCCTCCTTCCCCAAGGTCCTCACTCCCTGGGGAGTTCCAGGAAGAAAGCAGGGAGGAAGCTTCTAGGGATAGATCCTTTTTGCTGCTCAAATGCTAATAAGCCTGGACTGTGGCCGGAATGATGTACTGGTAGAGCTTCCCTCCCCTCCCCCTCTCAGACACAAAGCCTCCAGGTCTGAATTGTCAGGCTTGGGAAAACAGAGATGGGAAAATCAATTATAAGCTTATGAAAGGTACTGTGAGTTCCTACTATTATGGGAACCATGCTCATCCCTTGTTTTCTTATTTCTCAGAAGTCTGCCACTAAAAAATAAAATAAAAGGAGAGGCATACACAAAATACTGCCAAGAAAACGCTGGCTCCTTCCCTCTGTGTAGATTACCCCCTCATCCTTGGGCTTCCCCACCTCCATCATGCCCCAGCCTCTTCTCCTCCCTCTCCAGTGTTTGATTCTGATCCTCTCACCCCTCCCATCCTCCCTAGATCTGGTTCCCACATTTTCTGTCCATCCTGCTAGACTTTGCTCTGTTCCAACAGCATCCATCACTTCTGCACAAGCCCTCGCCTCTTTACAGGCACTGTTTACAGACTCCCTCCCTCCCCTCCTTGACCAGGACAGTATCCTGTGCACAGGGTGGAGAGCTGGAGGGGAAACAACAAAAGGGGGACAAAGAAAGGTTTTTGAAAACTGACAGCCCTTGTGCATATAAATACTGTTGATCCTAGCATCAGACACAGACATAGAAATTGTGGTAGAGAGTTCCTTTAGTCCCTTGTGTGGCAGTGGGGAAGCTACCTGTCAAAAATAACTTCAGGCCAGGTGATTTGGGGTTGAATTTCCTTGTCAGCTAAAACTGCTAGTTGTTACCAGGTGTGGTGGCTCACACCTATAATCCCAGCACTTTGGGAGGCTGAGATGAGAGGATTGCTTGAGTCCAGGAGTTCGAGACCAACCTGGGCAACATGGCGAGACTCCATCTCTACAAAAAATAGAAAAATTAGGCATGATGGCACACCTGTAGTCCCAACTACTCAGGAGGCTGAGGTGGGAGGATCAATTGAGCCATGGAGATGGAGACTACAGTGAGCCGTGATTATGCCGCTTCACTCCAGCCTGGATGACAAAGTGAGATCCTGCCAAAAAAAAAAAAAAACTTGCTAGCTGTTTGGATACTATTGAAGTGAACCATGCTCTTCCAAGAAAAGTCATTCTTCCAAATGACTTCTTCCCAGAACTGAGAAGATTTGAATCCAGAAAGGGGTCTGGCCATACCATTCAGCAGGCTGCTTCTACTGAGAAGATTTGAATCCAGAAAGGGGTCTGGCCACAGCATTCAGCAGGCTGTTTCTCCCTCCTGCTTTTGGTGAGAGTGTGCCTCTAGGACTATAACATGAAAGCTTAAAACTTGAAAAGAAATGCAGAGAACCTTCCCTGAGGCCTATAACATTGCTAAATCTTGCTGCACAGTAAAGTATTCTGAATGATGATTAAAATTATGTGGAGTCCTTGATTCCAACAAAGACTATTAACCAGTGTATTTTATTAAAGTGTTTCAAATGACCCCATGCCTAGAAAAGGTAATTTTTACAGCACATTTAGCCCTTTGCATAATATTTTCCTCCCCTTACCATTATTGTTTGACATGAGTGGTTGCCCCCCGACAAAAATTAAGAGAACAAAGATACATTTTTACCTTCAGACAAAAAGTAAAAAAAAAAAAAAGAAAGAAATTCACCACAACTGTGTCCCATTCTTTTTTTTAGACACAGGGTCTCACTCTGTCACACAAGCTGGAATGCAGTGGCACAATCATGGCTCACTGCAACCTCGAACTCCTTGGCTCGAGTGATCCTCCTGCCTCAGCCTCCCAAGTAGCTGAGACTATAGGCAGGTGCCACCACACCTGACTAAGATTTTTTTTGTTTTAAATTTTTTTAGAGACAGGGATCTCACTGTGTTGCCCAGGATGGTCTCAAACTCCTGGCCTCAAGCAATCCTCCCACCTCAGCCTCCCGAGTGGGATTACAGGCGTGAGCCACTATGCCTGGTAACTATGTCCCTTTTATGCCTATGAACAACCAGGAAACATCTGCGTGGATTAAGTCAATGGCTGTGCATTCCCATAGGGAGATGCACCAGGGCATGCAGCCAACACATATTTGTTGAAAGAATTAATGAACGACTGAAAAAGAGAGGACTGAGAGCAGTACTATCATCTAGATTCAGTCCACTTCCACAGGCAACTTAGCTATTTAGTCACCTGGAAAAGAGGAAGACATGACTGGGTATGGTGTCTCATGCCTGTAATCCTAGCAATTTGGGAGGCCAGGGTGGGAGGGTCACTTGAGCCCAGCCTGGGCAACACAGTGAAACTCTGTCTCTACAAAAAATGAACAAAATTAGCCAGGCATGGTGGTGCACACCTGTAGTCCCAGCTACTCGGGAGACTGAGGTGGGAAGATTGCTTGAGCCAGGGAGGTGGAGGCTGCGGTGAGCCATGACTGTTGCCACTGTACTATATAGCCTGGGTGACATAGTGAGATCTTGTCTCAAAAATATGAAAGACATAATTCACTGTCCTGGACTTCCAATTTCCTCTTATCCAGACAACCACCGTCTGCTATTAAATAAAGGTTATAAGGTAAAAGGAGACTGTGTTTTACATCACAGGAACAGAATAGATTGATAAATTGAAAGCCCCAATAAAAGTGGTAAGTTGTGAGAAAAATAATAATGACTCCTACAGACTTATTAACTCAAGCAAATTATTTTGACCTAAAAATGTAAATGTACATTTATTTATTCACCAAGTTCCTAGTATAAGACCAAGCTTACAATGAAACCCTGAGGAGAGTTCCACAGTCTCTCTTGCACCATCCACATAATAACTTCTTTTTTTTAAAACAGTCTCACAATATCACCCAGACTGGAGTCCAATGACATGATCGAAGTCCACCGCAACCTCCACGTCCTGGGCTCAGGCAATTCTTTCACCTCAGCCTCCCAAGACCATAGGTGCACATCACCACTCACGGCAAACTTTTTCATTTTTTTGTAAAGAGTGAGTCCAGTACTCCCTCTTTATCTTTACTCAGGCTGGCTTCTAACTCCCAGGCTCAAGTGATCTTCCTACTTCAGCCTCCCAAAGTGCTGTGATTACAGGTGTAAGCCACCACGCCCAGTCACTAACATAATTTTTAAAATGATTTCCTGTTTCCATTTCTTTATAGTAGAAGGTGGGTACACAGGAGATTGGGCACACATTTATCA